GATTGAAAAGGTATAGGGAAACTGGGAGGAGTCATACCAAGAACTTCCTTGCTACCTGAATGCACTCCAGACTTATCCTCCGGGTACTATTTACATTCTGGAAACAGTGCCAGCATACACCCCGGATGGTAGTCAACTCAACGGAAATGGAATATTCAGTCGAGTGTTTTAGGCTTTTCAATCTTGCATCACATGGTTTGCATCATTCAAACCAATATACAAATTGATGGGACTTGGTTGTATGGGAAATACAAAGGCACGCTACTGATGGCAGTTGCACAAGATGGCAACAACAACATTTTCCCAATTGCCTTTGCCATAGTCGAGGGGGGGATTGGTGGTGCTTGGAGCTTTTTTCTGAAAAATCTGCGAACACACGTGGCTCCTCAACCAGATCTCTGTTTGATCTCGGATAAACATGCATCTATTGAAAGTGCATACAATAATCCTACAAACGGTTGGCATGACCCTCCTTCTACGCATGTCTATTGTGTTAGACATATCGTCCAAAATTTCACGAGGGAGATCAAAGACAAAACACTAAGGAAAGCGGTTATGAATGAGGGATATGCATTGACACGACCTAAGTTCAAATATTATCGCAACGAGATCCGTTTGTCAAATCTGGAAGCCGGTAGGTGGATTGACAATATTGCCGGTAGAAAAATGGACTAGGTCATATGAAAATGGCCAAAGATGGGGCCATATGACAACAAATCTAATTGAATCGATGAATGGGGTATTCAAAGGCATACGAAACCTCCCAGCCACTGCTTTGGTAAAATCAACATATTTTAGGATGGCTTCATTGTTTGCCAAAAGAGGTGAAATATGGAATGCGGTGTTGCAATCTGGACAACTATGGAGTGAAAGCTGCATGAAGTACATTAAGGCAGAAAGTGCCAAAGCCAACACCCATATGGTTATACGGTTTGACCGACACAGCCACAACTTCATTGTGAAAGAGACAATCAACCATAATGAGGGCCTACCAAGACAAGAATATAGGGTTGTACTACCTTCTCGTTGGTGTGATTGTGGCAAGTTTCAAGCTTTTCATATGCCTTGCTCTCATGTCATTTCCACGTGTGCGTGTACTCATCAAGACGCGCTACAACTTCTGTCACACATTTACAAATCTGAAATGTTGCTCAATGTTTACACAACAACTTCTTTTTGGTAGCAAAACCAGATTATTGGCCTGCATACGACGGCGAAATAGTATGGCACAATGACCAAATGCGAAGGAATAAAAAGGGTCGTCCCAAAAGTAAGTGCATCACAACCGAAATGGACTCCCTTGACAAGCTGGAAAGAAAGTGTGGTTTATGTCGTCAGGTCGGACACAATCACAATAATTGTCCGAATCAGGCTACTGCCTCAACCATATAAAAATTGTATTACATAAAATCTTTCCTTTATTATATTGTAAACATTAGGGTTTTTTGTTAACAGTATTTGTTACAATAAACATTGCGTGAACAAGAAAAAAAACACGATATTTCGTCTATGAAATTACAACTGTTAAAACAATATCATCTGACCCATGCATCATCAACATTACGTCGTTGTCTGTTTTGACTTCCTCTAATCAAACATTAGGTCTTCCTGTCGCATGTGAGGTTGTTGTTCGTCTTTGCTGAATCCTTCTAATTTCCCCCCCTCCATGATGTCTCCATCTAGCCATCGCATCAACTCCCGCTTCAGACGCTCCATGGAGTGAATGTGCCAGAATTTCATTTTTATCAGAGGTTTTGTGGCAGAGAAGATAACGTAACCATCTCTGGTAAAAATCATGGGCGACGTCATGACGCAAATCACAGAGTAAAAAATAATAAAATAATGCGAGAAAGTGTGAGAAATGACGGAGAAACAGGTGAATTATTTATAAAAACAACATTTTGCCCTAGGAGCCAAGTGAGATGACGTCTCCTCTCACTTTTAAAGTGTAGGTGCCATCTCACTTGGCTAAAAGAGAGAGGAGACACCAAGTGAGATGGCGCCTAGGGCTAAAAGCTTAGTGGAGGCGCCAAGTGAGATGGCTCCTCCTTTGGAGAGTCATCTGAAACATGGTTATTTGCGAAAAAAAATTTTAATACCTGGTTATTCCAAAAAAAAAATCCTCAGTTGAACGATCATTTCTTCAATGATAAAGACCAATTTTTTGCACTAGTTGATTAAAAGTTCCATTGAGAGTGACTTTGAAAAAATGTCTAGAAGATTATCCCGTGAACGAATTAGGATTGTTTGTGGTGCGGTTAGGATCAATTTTGAGGTAAAAACTCATCAGATTCAAAGATATTTATTCGTGGTTCAATTCGATTTTAGATTATTGATTAAAAAAATTAATCTGATTCGATTCAATTTCATATAATTTAATTTGAATCAATTTTTGGATATCTAAATTATAAATTATATTTTTTATTAAAATTATAAAAATTAAATTAAATAATATATTTTATATAATATATATCATATAATATATTAAAAATTAATATTACTAAATGAGAATGCTCGATTATTGTTGGAGCAAATGAAATAATGAAAGTAAATATATTAAACTAAACAAATAAATGGTATAAAAAATAAGCATCATCGAATAATAAATTAACACGATATATCATATTAATGAAAAATAAATAAATATAAAAATATATACATGCAGTTTGGTTTAGATCGATTTTGAAAATTCAATTCAAAATCTAATCTGAATCGAGTGGTTTTAATAAAATGACATCTAAACTATAACGTTCCAGATTTTTATATTCTAAATAATTATTCACTTTAAAAATTTGGAACTAATTTTTTTGTTTTCAAAAGATCATACAACAATAATACATTTTTAAAATAAACTTAACTATTTTCATCTTTTTTTAGAGTATAAATCATATTTCTAATTCACAAATTGATTTCTAATTTGCAACTTAAGTAAACTATCATATTTTAATATTTTAATTTACTTTAAACTGAATTACAAGTTCAATAAAAATATGATTTCATTCCCACGAACACAAACTACATTATATCATATCATATCACAATCAATTCATATATTTTAATTTTTCTTACCTAATATGTAAGGGGTCAATCTTCTATCATCCATATCAAATCAAACAAAATATATAACATTGTATTATAAAACAAATCATATCAAACATAATAGCTTAAGAGAATCAAATTCACAAAGAGCATTATTTTGCAAAAAAATTTCCGTATAAATATGTATGCTCTTATAACTACATAACCCGAATATAATCAGTCAGCCACTAAGGCACCACAAAGAATTCATCTCATATCAATGGGGAAAATAACTCACTACTAAGGCAATCTGCCACTAAAGCAACCCGCCACTAAGGCAATCTTCCACTAAGGCAAGCTGCCACTAATGCAAACAATGCATATGTCATGAAATAATGATGCAAATGCAAGCACGCCACTTAGACAATCATACGGTCCAAATAACATTACATCATCATGCACATGACTAAAACCATAACTTCTTAATAATCAATCTCACCACTTAGGCAGACACAACTCAACCAATATGAAAACATGTACAAACATTTACAATATACAATCACATCAGCATGATTCATCGGATTTACATCGCGACCATACATAATAATAACAAATCACAAATAACACAACATTTCATCCATATCACATCAGAACACTAAAAAATACAATATATAAAATTAGTATTTCTATTTTTAAATTACCGAACAACTATATTTCAATTATCCTTTTCTCTTTAGAATAATTATGCATCATATCATTTTATTCTATAATATCTAACTATTAGTTTCGTTATAATCAATATGGGAAAGTATTCTTACCTTATACGCTTTTCTTTTCAGCCGCATTTAAAAATCACCACGAGCAAGATCCTATTCTTATCATGCTTCTGCATATTAATTCGAGTCTATATGCTGATTTTTTGCTTCCTTGACTCATCGTCCTTCAACGAATTCGTTTTTGATAATTTATGAATAAATATTAAAATTACGATATTAAAATACACTAAAAATATCAATTTCAAAATTAGGTACAATAAAATTATCCCAAAACAAATTTCAAACTTAATGATAATATCACTTACCTTCACCCGATCATTTTGGCATTGGTTTCGCGTAAATCAGAGTTACAATGAAGAAGATACGAACGAAACAATAACACTAATTTAATAATAAAAAAAATATTTTAAAGAAGTTAAAAAAAAGGCTAAAAAATCAAATGAACATGAAAATATAATAAATTAAATGATAGAAATGACATACTAAAATTTGGGACGGATCGGAAAAACTTTTGTACATAGCTGATTTGACATCGAAATCAAATTTGCTTCTTTTCTCCATATTATCGTTAACTAAATAGTGGGTGTATGTTGATTCACGCTTAGTGTTATTACACTAGCACCAGTAACTCACTTTCACTTTAATGACGGCTAGAGTTCCTTGGTATTTTGTATGCAGCAGTTGACTGGTGGCACCTCTAAGTTGTGTTTGTCATATCAATATCATATTAATAGTTGATGAGAGTTATTGAGAAGCTTATCTCTTAACTTCCCTCGTGAGATCCAAAAATTGGCAGTCTACACCATCAACTTACATAACTCAATGCTCTTACTTTGGTGAACTTATGCGTAGATCTGGAAACAACCCAAACACTGATGAACAGTAACCCAAAAAGGGTTTGAGTTGTCGATTGGTTCAACTTGGTTTGATCAATGACAACCTACTGCTCTGACGGTTTACAGGTTTACTTTCATTTTTCTGCATTGTTTTTTTTTTTTTAAATTCAATTTGGGTTTTTGTGGGTTTGTTGCTTATGTTTATTTCTTGGAGTTGGATTAGAGTTTTCATGGAAAAACAATGTTTCTTTGGTTCTCTTATGAATGTGCATAAACTTGTTGGGTCGCCTTTGTGTGCACCTGCAAATGTTGAAAAGTAGACATTGCAAATATTGTGAATTCTATTGAAAAGTCGGTGTCTGCATTAGATATGTCTTTGGATGTCAAAGGTGAAGTCGTGGTTCCTAAAGCGAAGGGTACAAGCGCAAAATCTTTTGCACAAGTGTTGAGTAATACATTTGTTATTATCCCTCATGGTCAATTTCCAAAATCTAGTTTGAAAGGAGAAGATATAGTTATGAAAATTCTCGAGGAAGAGTACAAAGTTAGTCTTGAATCATGCAAAAATATCTTCATGTAAGGTTAATTTTGTCTAAAGGAGATCCTCCCATGAAACTTCAAGACTTGCATGGCAAACTAGACACTCTTTGGAAGCCTTTAAGTAAATGGGGAATTATTTCTTTAGGAAGAGGTTTTTATGAATTTGTTTTTTCTTCTACTGAGGATGCCTAATGTATTTCTGTGGTGCTTTCTTGGAGCCTAAAGCCTGGTTTTCTCAAACTTTTCACTTGGACTCCTGACTTTAATCCTAATAACTACAAACAGACAACAATTCAATGTTGGGTTTGTTTTCTTATTTTGCCATTGAAATATTGGAGTCCTAATATTATCTTTGCAATTGCTAGTTGTCTCGGAACGCCAATGTGTTTGGATGCTACAACAAGTAAGTACCCATTAGAGAGATATTTTGGACATTTTGCTAGAGTTTTAGATGATATTGATTTATCTTCTAAAACCAGACATAAATTGTAGGTCGAAAGAGACGATAATGCGTTTCTTGTTAACATTGAATATGAAAATTTGCCACTTTTCTGTTCACAATGTCATAACATTGATCATAGTTTTTCCTCTTGTAAACTTGTTAAAGTGGATCAAGAGAAAAGGGTAACTAAGGAGAAGCATAAACTCATGGGGAATAAGTCTCAGACTGGGGATTTAAGAAAGGAATTAGTTGAATGTGAAAATGCTACATGTGTTGATAATAATCCTTTTTTAGGATTTGTTGATTGTTTGAAAACCATTATTGATGTGAATGCTGTGAATAATGATGTGTTTCATCAAGGAGACTTTGATGCCTAAGATAATGAAAATTTACGTGGTTTAACTGATATAGATACCACTGAGCAAGGTAAAATTGACAAGAATCAGGATGGAGATTCAAATTCAGATGCCCAACAAGCTATGGAATTTCTAAGTGAATCTTGGGCTAACATGGATAAGAGCGATGATATTGTTGATTTGGATGAAAACACAAGTCAACCATTTCAATTGGTGGTTCCAAGAAAAATGAAGAACAAGAAGAATTCGCCTGAGTCAGACAAAAGTTTCAAGGTGGGTGCTTGCAATCGTACGCCTCACTAGTTTCTTTAATGAGAGTAGTCTCTCATGCGTATTTGTGGTCTCATTTTGTGGTTTGGTTAAGTTTGATCTATGTCTCCCAGTCTTTTTTATTTTATTTTTTTATTTTATATATATTTGTCTTATTTAAAATAAAATAAAAAAACTTTCACTTTAATGACCAATAGATTTATTTTTATTTATTTTACTTATTGATTAGTTAATTGGTTGATAGACCTAGTCATTAGTTTCCTTACTCGTCTTCTTTTATTTCTAATCCATAATCAAATTAAATTACAACCATATTTTACTTATTTATTTTATTAGTTTATAAATAAAATATTATATATATTAAAATACTTCCATTAAAATATTATCATATTTATAAGTCTATTAAAATATTTAAGAATATATAATATTGATACTTAGTATAAATTATTAAATTCAATAAATATATATAGTTACCATAACATAATGAGTACATAAATAATCAAGATAACTTCAATATTACTAATTTAATAAGATATTTATTCATAAAATAAATAATTTAAATGTGGTAATATATATATATATATATATATATATATATATATATATATATATATATATATATATATATATATATATATATATATATATATATATATATATATATATATATATATATATATATAAATATAAATATTAATGTGGCAATATACTTAAAGATAAATTGTTGAATAAATAATAAAATTTATTAAAAATATAAATGTATTGTATATAAAAATATCGGGATGTTACACAAACATATCCAATAATATTCTATTTTTGATCTTTTTGGATTAGTTTGCGATTTTATTTAGATCAGTTTAGATTTGAACACCCTTAAAATGATTTTGTGGATGCTTATATCACCACCTTTTTGAAGATCATGAGTGAAAATGAGCTTTAAAGAAAGATGTTTTGTTAGGTCTCCTTTAATGTAATCATACATTATTATCTTCATGTATGATTGTTGTATTCTTTTTCCAATAGTCAAACCATAATTATTCTGAGTGTGTTGAATTACGGATCTCAATCAAACATATTATCGACTTGTCTCATGCAGTGCTAAAAAAATTTATGATTAGATGAAGTTGTTCTATAGTTTGTTTCACATATCTTCATGAAATAGTTGTACCATCATAAATAAATAAATAATTTGTGCGATCTACCATTATGAGGATCTGACAAGTAAATTGTTTATGCATAATCTGTTAATTCTAATTTGGATACTTTAGAATAAAATAAATTCATGTTCATTAACCCATAAGATAACGAAGTATATATTTGACATTGTTCCAATGTCTTTGTGTAGGTGAAAAACTATGTATCGGTAATAGAGTGATAGAAATTAATATATTTTGGTGTGTATAATTAGAAAGATAGATAAGTGCTTGAATTAAAGTGACATATGGTAGTCCAAGACCAATTATTTTTTCATCCTCTTCTCGAGATCAAAAAGAATCTTATACATATTCAATGATCTAACATCATAGGAGTACAAAACATACGAGATTTGTCCATGTATAATATTTAAACACTTATTTTATATAACATTATTAGTATACAAAAATTCCATTGTCTAAATGTTCACCTTGTAATGACTTTGTATTTTCCAAGTCCTTAATCTCAAACAATTTTTTTAGACAATTTATAGCCTTTTGAAACTCTTCAGGAGTTCCAATATTATTTATGTCATCCACGTTGATATTTATTGTTATTTCTATGTTTTAATGGTTGGCTAAATTTTTCCTAAGCATGGTTCTAAACATGGTTCTATGTTGATGTTGAATGAGATGGTGCAACATCTTTATCAATTGTCATAACAATTTTGTTGTTATGAGTTTTTCTACCAGATGTCGCAAAAGATGTTGTGATATCCTGATTTGATGCAGCAGGCGCTGCTTTTGGATATCCTTGAAAATTTAATTTAAAGATATGAGTATCTAGAATATTTTGTACTCGTTATAGGCACAGGCCAATCAAGGATTTTGTTAGAAACAAGTGCAAATTTGATTGGTTACTAAAAAGGATCTGTTGAGACTTTTTAGGAAACTTTTTATGAAGATTGTTTCTATTTTTGTGGAGAATATTCTACAAAGATTTTTCAGCTGAAAATTGGAGTTGATTGAAGAATCTAATCTAGTTCATGTCCAACTGCAGAAGCCTATACGAGGAGTCGTCTAAGATCTAGTTTTTAATCATAGTTTTAATTGTAAAACCTTGTAAAGAAATAAGGGTTTAGGGTTGGTAGTTCCTTAGGTTCTTCGTGTGTTTTATTGTATGTCCTCATGTATTTCTGATGCATTTGAGTTGACTGATTGTTGTTTGATCATCAAGCTATCATTATCACCTAAAGCTCGTAGGCACGAGTTGAGTATTGTTCTTGGATGGAGCTTTTAAGCAAATCATAGTATTTGTATTTTGGAAGTGTGTTCTTCCTGTTTTGGTTTCTTGAGACATTCCTTTGGACTGGGCGTGTTTGTTTATCACTGTAGTTATTGGAAGTGAGATGGCGATTTCTCATATCTAGGAGGTGCCTAGGTAGAAGTTGCACTGGGTATAGACTAGGAAAGAAGTTGTAAACAGGGGAGTTTAGCTTTGAACTAGTACTATTGATAGTGGATTTCCTTCATGGTTTGGTATCCTCCAGCGTAGGTGTGTTGCACCGAACTAGGTTAACACTATTGTTGTATTCTTTAATTTCTGCAAGTTATATTTCTGTATTGTTATTGTTGTTATTGTTTTGTCTGCAATCTGTCGTGACATTGTATGTTATTAAGATATCAGTCTTGACTTTTAATATTGTGCGTGTCAGAATTTCATTTATAATAGATAATGTTTTCAATATATTTTCATTAAAATACAAGGACAAATGGAGTTATTTGTATATCCATCTCTTAGAAAATATTCGTTGAGGCCATTATATCATATGTGTCCACATGGTTTTAGCCCATAGAGAGACTTGTTCAATTTTATGGAGTAGCTTTCTAGAGATCCAAAATTATCTGACTTTGGTATATTAAAATCTTTAGGGGGTTTCATGTATATGTCTCTATTAAGTGAGCCACACAAATAAGTTATTACAACATCCACCATGTTCAAATTAAGTCTTGTAAGAACAATATTTGGTTCTGCAATATTATCTCTGAGTTTTGATGATAACAAATGAGTATGTTTGTATGAACAATTTTGATACGCTAATGTTTGTTATTGTTGAGTACTTAACAAATATGTTCTGCTTTTGATGGATGGCGTGGCTGTTGCACCCCAAAATTTGCCCTCTCATTTCTCAAGGAATCACCTTGGATCCTCAAGATTGCTTTCATCCAATTCCAAGCCTTGAACTACAAATTTTCCAAGAAAATCACTCATAAGGGCAAAATGGTCATTTTTGCACTAAAAAGTCAAATTTGACTTTTGGATCAAAATCAAGCTTCAAGAATCATATTTCATCAAGACACATTGAAATATGAAGTTTTGTTTCATCAAAATCCAAAAAGTCAAAATTCTAAATACTTAGAATTTTTTCTAAGTGTTTAAGAAAATATGACAATTTCAGAACTTCTGACCAGGGTATCACCATAAGCACTCAGCAGATTTTGGATATTCTCAAGACAGAGTTTGGTCAGATCTTCTGGGTAAGCCATTCACAAAAGCTCAGTCAGAGTTTTCCAAGGTAATTCAAAGAAGGTTAAGGAGCGTGTTGCAAGCCTTCTAGAAAGTCTGAAAGCTCCTTCAGAACATGCTGGAACCAGAAGATAAGAGGATCAGAAGATGTGATGCTACGCTGAAGCAGAACTTATGATCCAAAACAAAGCTTCGGTGTAGAGTTTCACATTGCAGGATTTCTGGTTGTGATAAGTCTCATCATCATTTAATGCTCACAACCACCTTTTGAGTCTTTATCCAAAGGATCTTCACCATGTATACCTCTAATGTCTTGGGATAGCAACTTTGTTACTAAGCCCATGCTTTAATTTTTGCTTTTCCTTAATTCCTACTGACAACCACCATGCTTGCTTCAAAGACAAGGCAGCGCTTCAGCACATGAAGGCTATATATCAACGCTTTGGTCAGAACATGACCAAATCCCAAAACCTTGTTTATACAACTTGCTGCATACCTATGACCAACAGCTGGCTCAGCCTACGCCTGCATCTCATGATTACACCAAACTAGCATACGAAAACTGTGATGAAAAAGCAAAGGAACAGGATGCCAAAACAGGTTCAAATCCTATTTGTTTTCCCCCCCAAAGTCACAGCAGATTCATCTATAAATACTTGGCTCCATCACACGTTCAAGGGGCTGGCTTTTGAAGAGAGAGATTGGCCAAAAGAGAGAAGAGGAAACAGGGAAAACCTTCGTAAATCCAAAACAAAACCTTTTGTTCCTCCCCTTTGAATAAAAGAACACAACCACTGTTCTGTCACTCTCGCTGATTCCAGAACATCCAAAGACAGCCACTCAAAGCTCCAAGCCCACGCTCCAGGTTCAAGGTAAGTCTCTCTGACTTTGCTTGTTTTTCATTCTGAACATCACTAAACATGTAAATATCATAGTATTAATGTTGTACATATCATTTATTAAGTAGAAAAAATGTGGATCAGAACTTCTTGATTAAGGCTAGGCTCAGGATCAGGATTAAAACTTCTGTAAACTGTTGTGCTATTATCCTTCTGACATGCTGATTGTTAAAAAACTGAATAGATTATTGATGTGCTGATTGAGTGTTGAAATATGGCATTAAAACTTCTGATGTTCATTCATAGTTTTAACATACATAACTTCTATGATTTTTCTCACTGTTAAACACACACAGAACTTCTGAGTTCTCTTCACTGTTTTAACACACAAAACTTCTATGATTTCCTCACTGTTAACACACACTGAACTTCTGATGCTTACATGCTGATAACGCATTGAATTGTTAATGTTCACCCACTGGCTCAGCATAATACAGAACTTCTGACTTTTGGTTCACTGGCTGAACACCATCC